TAATAATGAAATAATCCAGCTCTCTTTTGGTTACTATTTGCATGAAATATCATTTTCTGTATTTTCATTTTCAACCTATTTGTCCCTTTAAAGTGAGTCTTTTGTAAGCATATCATCAATTATTAAGATCTATAGTCATGCTGATTTTTCCATCAGTGCCTTAAGCTGTTCAAAATTGGTATCATCCTCTTAACAAAACAAATTCCTTCTTCTTAATTCCTCTACTTACCATCCCCATGTTGTTTTCACTTTTTGTTTCAGAATTCTTAGTAACTGGCTAATGTTTCTTATATGCCAGTAATGTACAAATTTAATTATTGTAGGTTTAAAAAAATATTTATGTATTTATTTATTTGGCTGCACTGGGTTTTAGTTGCAGCACCCAGGATCTCTAGCTGTGGCATGTGGGATCTAGTTCCTTGACCAGGGATCAAACCCAGGACCCCTGCATTGGAAGGGCAGTCTTAGCCACTGGATCACCAGGGAAGTCATTACCTTTATAAGTGGTGGACAAGGGATTGATTTTTAATGCATAGAGAATTCTTAAAAATCATTAAGACCAACAACCTAATGGGAAAATGGACAAATGTTAGAGAACAAATGTCACCAAGAAGAGGAATATAAATGGTTCTTCAATTAGATGCTCAACCTCAATCATGAAATAAAATTGATGCCACTTTTCATTTACCAGTTTGGCAAAATTATAGTATTAATGCAGTGTTGGTTTTAGAAATCATTCAAGCTTGCGTCTCATCTTCCTTTAAAAATGTAAGAAATACCAAAGCCAAAAGATTTGTCTCAGGAATAGCCAGGAGCCCAGTTCCCAGAACCCATTTTCTTAATCAGTGAACAGTGCTGCTTCCCACACACATTAGCAAAGAATTGAAAGAAAATACTATGAGAATATATATCAGGGCTGCTCAGTGTCAGTACTATTGACATTTGCATGCATGTGCGCTCAGTCACTCAGACATGTCTCACTTTTTGTGAACCCATGGACTATAGCCCACTAGGCTCCTCTGTCCATGGGATTCTCCAGGCAAGAATACTGGAGTGGGTTGCCATTTCCTCCTCCAGGGGATCTTCCCAGCCCAGGGACTGAACCTGCGTCTTCTTCAATGGCGAGCTGGTTCTTTACCACTGAGGCACCTGGGAAGGCCCTATTGACTTTTAGGGCTGGGTAATTCTTCTTCTTCTCTGTTTATTTATTTGGCTGCATCTGGTCTTAGTTTCAGCACGGACTCTGTACCTGCGGTGTACAGGCTTCGTCGCTCTGAGGACTGTGGGATTTTAGTTCCCTGACCAGGGATGTGTCCCCTGCGTTGCACGGTGGATTCTTTACCACTGGACCACCAGAGAATTCCCCAGGGCTGGGTAATTCTTTGTAGTGGGGGGCTGTTCTGTGCATTGCAGGATGTTTTAGCAGCATCTTTGACATCTTTTCATTAGAAATCCTCACTCCTCTCCCCAGTTACAACAGCCCAAAGTACCTTCAGACATTATCAACTGCCCCCTGGCAAAACTCTTGATAACCGTTGCCTTAAATATTCCTGCCTTTTTAATGTAACCTAAGAGATCATGAATACAACCTTATGTCTGAATCCTGTTGTCTATAGTCCTGAGAAGCAGAAATACTCTAAGTATGCAATAATAGAGGAAAAGATTCCATAAACCATGTATATCTAGTAAGAGGACTGCAAAGTTGTTGATGATGCCTGCCTGATGATGGAAACTAGAGGGAAAAAAAATCAACCCTGCAGAAAAATGGCTATTTAAAAACTGAGAACTGGACTTGCCTGGTGGCACAGAGGATAAGAATCCACCTGCCAACAAGAGGGACACGTGTTTCATCCCTGGTCCAAGAAGATTTCACATGCCGCAGAGCAACTGAGCCTGTTTGCCACAACTACTGAGCCCACATACAGCAACTACTGAAACCCATGTACCCAGAGCCTGTGCTCCACAAGAGAAGCCACCACAGTGGGAAGCTTGCACACTGCAACAAAGAGTAGGCCCCGCTCGCTGCAACTAGAGAAAGTCCACCAGAGCAACTAAAACCCGCTGCAGCCAAAAATAAGTAAATAAAATTATTTTTAAAAATAAGAATATATTAAAAATTGCTAATAACATGGTCATGATGTTAACTTCAAATATATACATATTATAATTACATGCTCAAATGAATAGAAAACTTAAAACCTGAACACAAATGTTTAAAGCAGCTTTATTCATAATTGCCAAAATTTGAAAAAGCAACCCAGATGTCTGTTAGTAGGTGAATGTTTAAATTATGATACATCTGGACGATGCAACACTGCTGCTGCTGCTGCTAAGTTGCTTCAGTTGTGTCCGACTCTGTGCGACCCCATAGACAGCAGCCCACCAGGCTCCCACCATCCCTGGGATGCAACACTAGTCAGTGCTAAAAAGACACCGTCAAGCCATGAAAAGACAATGAGGAACCTTAAATGCATATTACTAAGTGAAAGGAACCAACCTGAAAAGAACACTATGTCCCATAGGACTCCCAACTACATGGCATTCTGGAAAGGGCAAAACTATGGAAACAGTAAAAAGATCTGTGGTTGCCAGGAGTTATAAAGGGGAGGGAGGGATGAATCTGCAAGAAACAGAGGATTTTTAGCATGGTGAGTACTCTGTATGCTATGTGATAGACCACAGATTGTAATAGTTATGATAATAGTTCATAGATAGTAACAAACCACCTGTTCCGGTGTGGGATGTTGATGCTGGGGTTGGCTGTGCATGTATGGGGCCAGAGGGTATATGGGAACTGTGTACTTTCTGCTCAATTTTGCTGTGAACCTAACCACCCTTAAAAAGTCTGTTGGGGGAAAAAAAAAAAAGCTTCAGGCTCAAAACTTGCCTGAGTTGTTCAAGCTTTATAGAAAAACACAACCTTCATGGTCATTTTTTATTCAACTGCTTAGACACGTAAATGATTAATGACTACAGTGACTTTCCCTTGGTGAAACATGGCTTCATTGCAACCAATGAACCACCAAATCAACTGTTGTACAAATGAAGCTGCAGCAACACATTCCTGTCAGGATAACAAGAGAAGGGTTATTATAGGGTCAGCATTACATTCAAACTTAGCTGAGCCTCTCAATACCTCTGATTCCTTGGACCACTCAACCTCTTTGGACTGCAATTTCTTATTTGTAAAATGAGACTGTTACCTTAAAAATGGTTATTATCTAAAAATACCTGGTCCAAATAATGTCACAGGAAAAATAAAACAATTTTGTTTTCATGAAGAAAAATTATATGCATGAATCTCAACTAAGTTCAAAATGTTAACGATGTTTTGGTGGTAGTATTATAGATAATTTTGTTATTCAAATTTTTACCTCCTAAACTTGCCATAATAAACATACATTATTTATATTTAAGAAATAAACATATTTTCTTCTGGCCATCCCATGTGGCATGTGGAACTTGCCCAACCAGGCATTGAACCCGTGCCCCCTGCGCTGGAAGCACAGAATCTTAACCACTGGATTACCAGGTTAAGTCCTAGAAATAAACACATTAAAAAAAAAAATCACAGCACGAAAACTGTAGAAAAGAATATTTTATTGAAACAGTTTCTCAATTAACAATGGAGCAAAGTACAATTTGACTCAAGATCTGTCCAACCAGCCTCAACCGCTAGTGAAACAATTCAAACATATAGGACAGGACAGGACCCTCAGGGCACATTTCTGCCAATGTGGCAAAAAAAAAAAGAAAAAAAAGACAAGAGACAGACACAACCAGGCTCCCCCATGCCCTGGGAGTGGGGGTGGCAGCCCTGGCTCCTGGTACAGTTGGGACCCTGGGGGGTGGGCTGCCCAACATCAACGTGGTGGGTAAAGGGCCCCCATCCCAGCAGAGCAATGCACTACAGAAGGGCCAGCCTGTACCCTCTTCCTTTGCCCACAAGGCCTGCCTCCAAGAGAGCGAGGTGGCAGTTCTACATTCTTGCCACAGTCTCTCCTGCCCCCAGGGTCTTGGGACAAGGGGCTCACAGTAGAAAGCACGTTTTGGTCAGCCCAGGGGGCCAGGGGGTGAGGGAAAGGCTTTGAGAGGGCAGAACAATAGGGAGAGAAGGGGGGGCAGAAGTCCAAGGGCCATGGAGTACCAGGCTACCAGGAAGATGCAGATTTCAACAGCTGCTTGCAGGATGCTGGCACCCTGCGCCAGCCACTCCACACACCTTTCCTGGCCCAGAGTCCACAGGTGGGGGAGCTACAGCACTCTTACACATCTCACTCCCTAGAGAGGCGGCTGGATTCCCTTCTTCACTTTCTCCCTGTCTACTCTGGCCACTGGGGTTGTACGTGTGGGTGGGGGTCAATCTCGAGTGACTTAGGCAGTCCAGATGGACAGGCTCTGGCCAAAAGGCAGAGGACTGTCCGACTTGCAAGAGGAAGGCAAGGAGACCCACAGGGAGGAGGCAGGGAATGGGGATTTTTAGAGGCAAAAAACCTTGGAGGAGGCAAAAGTACAGACAGGAGCTCAGAAACCAAACCTGGAAACCAACGTTCTGCAGACACTGGCCTGTGTGGCATTGATCTTGTGGTGGAAAAGGGAGGGAAGGACAACCAGAAAAGACTGGAGACCCTCTAACCCAGGACACCCTTCCCACTACCAGGTCTGTCAACCAACTACTGATGGTCATGCTCTCAACTACCCGCAGGCAAAGAATTAAGACACAATAGTGATTTTTCCCAAACTAGGACCTGGATGGGTAGGGAACCAGCGGGTGGGGTTGGGGAACAGAACAATTTCAGTTTGAACCACAGAACTATTCCAGAAGGAACCAGTAAGCCGTCCCTTCCTTCCCCTTCTCTGCACCTCCAGTCACAGGTGAGAGAAGAGGAACTGAAGCCTCTGGGGTGGGAGGAACCAACCCTCCCCCAGTCCTTGGTGTTTAATAAATAGAGGTGGTGAGAGAAGGGGGGAGGGACGAGTGGGGAACTGGGAGGCAGGGGTTATAGTTCATCATTCTTCAAAGTTCGCTTCTGTCCTGTCGGTTGTTCTGGGTGTTCTTTCTGTTCGGATTCTGGGAGGAATTGGGGGAAGACAGCAAAGGGTGGAGAGAGGTGAGATGGAGGGAACAGGCCCAGCTCAGGGCAGGCATTGCCCCCCAGCAGAGCCCGCCACCTCCACCCTCACCTGCTGCAGGACCCCCTAATTCCAGAGGCTCAGAGTCTGCTGCTTCAGATCCTGCTTTGTGGAAAGAACACGTTAGTGTTTGCAAGAGGGAAGAAGGGGCTGATGGAGGGGTTGGCAAACTTTTTCTGACAAGAGCCAGACAGTAAATATCAGTATTTTAGGATCTGTGGGCCACACCTGGTCTATTCTGTTTTTGGAAATAACTATCTACAAAATGTAAAGGCCATTCAAAGCTCCAGGGCTGTCCAGAGAGAGGCTGGCTGCCAGTCTGCCAACCCCTTGGGGCTAAATGACGTCCACGCTCCCCGTCTGCTTCCCCAGCTCACCAGCCTCCTTCTCGGGTTCTGGGATGGGCTTCGTGTCTTCAGTCTGGCCTGGAGGGAAACCAGGAGGAACAGGTAGTCCCCAGAGGGAAGGGAAAGCTTCCTCCTGCCCAGCGATGCCTGAACCAGTCCCCGGCCCTCACCTGGTGGAGGGATGACCTTCTCGCTCTGGTCACTGGCACTGGCATTGAGGGGAGCCTCTGCCCGGGTCCCGTTCTTGTCCCGGGGCCGGGGCCGGGGCTTGGCGAACTTGGCCTTATTGAGCAGATACTGCACCTCACGGTCCAGGGCCGCCATCTTGGCCTCGATGTCTTTCGAGAGCAACACGGGCTTCTCTGTGGCGGGAAGCTTGGCCTGCTCGGCCACGGTTGTGTTCTTCCAGGCCTGTGGGCGAGGTCAGGACAGGCTTGGAGCCAGCAGATGCCTCTGTCCCAGACGAAACACACCCCAACCAACCTCTGGCTCTTCCCCTCAGACCTCAAATCACTGCCCGTCACTGTCAGCCCCAGAAGCAGATACATACCTCGAGGCTCTCCACAAGGGAGTGCCAAACTGCCCATTTCTGGCTTCCATCCTATTGCTATGGACTAACCACAGCTGAACCTCTTGATTTTCTCCTTATTTCAATCGCTTTGGTGCTCTGGTTCAAAAAACAGCCCCCACATCCAGAACGGCTTCTGCATCTCACAACAAGTCATTCTCACCTCCCCAAACCCTGACCCAATTTCTGCATTCAGTTCAAGCCCCAGATCCTCAGAGCAGCTCTCTCTTGACCCCGCGGGGATGGGCTCCTCTACCCCTCTAATCGAGGACATATGGCTGTGACCGTGGTCTGAAACTGATCAGACGTGATCTCAAACGCAGCCATCTTTTGCGTTTCCAATGAGCTGCCAAGCCAGGAGGCAGAGACTGCTGAGTCTCCATTTCTCCGCATCTCCCTCACTGCCAAGGATGGCACACCTTGCCAGATAAGTCTCCAGTTAAGTATTTATATGGGGATTACCCAGGTCTCATTGATGATTTTCTCTAACGTTGTCATCTCCACTTCAGTGAAGATCTGGTCCATCTCTGGGATGAGCCGGGCCCCCCTGCAGTCAGAGGGGAGACAGTCAGCCTAGGAGGGACAGGGGCGGGACTGAGTGGGGAAGAAGAGCAGAGGGGCCACTCACTTGAGGAACATGCTGGAATGATTGAGGAGATTATCCAGGGCAGACAGCCGTTCGGGCCACTTCTTGCGCTCTTCCACCCGAAAAAACAGCCCGTGGCACAGCTTCCGTAGCTCAGCCAGCTTCTCCTTCAACATCTGATGGGTGTGGGGGTGGGAGAGGGCAGAGGGGTTAGGGGACAACCGCCCTGCATCCTTCTTTATGACCTCACACTCCAGCTCTCTTCTCTTTCCCCATCCTGCCTGCCGCGCCCAGGGAGCCCTCTCACCGCTGTGGTGGCCCCAAAGCCCTCATCCTCCAGCCAAGTGGACGCGGTGCTGAGCTTCCCAGAGATGTCCTCGCGCTGCTCCTCGGTCGACACTTCCTGGTACTCAGGCTGGTACAGCTTATCCTGGGGAGGTGCGCCAGAGCACTAGCGTGCAGCAGACCCTCGGGGCAAGGCTCTTGGGGCAGGACCCTCCTCCCCCACCCCGTCCCTCGTCCTGAGGCAGGCCTGTGTCCCAACCCACCAACCTGGGTCTCAAAGATGAAGGCTTCCAAGCTGTTGGCTGCTTTCTCCCGTTCCTGCTTTTGCAGGTCCCGGAGTGTCAGGTCCTGGAGTCTGTGGCCGAGGGGCAGCAGGTGTAAGGGGTGCTGCTCCACACCCTGCGCCCACCGTCCGCACGCTCACAGCCTTTACTCACTTCTGGGCCGAGCGGGCCAGCTGGTCCTCAGGCAAGTCGGGCAGGTCCAGGATGACCAGCTCCACCCCGATCTCCTCCACCATCCTCTGCTTCCGGGCTGGTTTCTGCTTCTTTTCTTCCTCCGGGGCTGGAGGAGCACCCTCAGACCCCGCCTCCCCCTTCTCGCTTGGCTTCTGTGGGGAAGAGACGACGGTGTCAGGAAAGCATCAGCCCTCCTGTCCTGCACAGGAGGGGATGGCTCTGGGTCCAGGCCGACTTCTCTCTGCTCACCTGTGCCTCAGGCTTGTCCCCGCCGTCTTTCTCTGCGGCCTTTTCTCCCTCAGGGGCTGCAGCCCCCTTAGCCTCAGGGGGTGGGGGCGAAGAGGTGTCCTCTGCTGGGGCCTCAGCTTCCTCCTTGAGCTCTGCTTGCTCTCCAGGCTCGTCCTTGCTCCCCTCAGCAGGCCCTTCCTCCTCCTCCTGGAAACAAGCAGACACAACCTCTGAAGAGTCACCAGCAAGGCCCGTGGATCAGGACTGGCTCCGCTTTGAAGGGCTCATTGCCCATGACACAGCTTAGAGGGAGACAGAGGACCACTGTGTGGAAATGGGCAACGGGTGTCTGGACTGAGGCAGTCTAGCTGGACAAAGAAAAAGTGTCTGGAGGTGACAGTGAGCCTTGGGATGGCTCAGAGTCCAGAGAAGGATGTGGTGAACCCGGCTCGGGCTAAGAGGAAAGAAAGAAAGTCACTCAGTCGTGTCCAACTCTTTGCAACCCCATAGACTGTAGAAACCAGGCTCCTCTGCTCATGGAATTCTTCAGGCAAGAATACTGGAGTGGGCAGCCATTCCCTTCTCCACAGGCTAGAAGGAGGCGGGGCCTATCACATCCTGAGAAGCTGGGGGTCGACACCCCAAACCATGCTGCTGCCTGGTCCCATGCACTGTCCTCCGTGCTCCCTGGCTCCATCCTGGCCTTACCTGGACTGTGTCAGTACCATTTTCTTTAGTATCTGGTGTGCTGCCACCTCCAAACAGGCTGGAGATGGTGTTGCCAAGTTCTAGAAAGAGAAAAACCCAAAGACTTAAAGAGCACCACAGAAGGGACTCCACCCCCAACCCTAAGGGTAAGGCCTGCCCACCTCCCTGGAAGACACACAAGGACACTCTCACACACGTGCACATGCTCATCTTACTGGTCAGAGTAGATTCCTCTTCTGGGCTGTCCTCCACCAGCGTCTCAAACACAGACTCCACCTGAAAACAGGGATCCGAGGTGAAGACAAGCACATGCTAACCCACCTTTTCTCCACAAATATCCTGCCTCATGGGTTACTGTTCAGGCACAACCCTGTGCACAACTTCCAGCTGTGCTAGCCGGTCCTCTCCCCAACCTCCTTCAAGGGCTCCTGGATGGAGTCTCCTCCACCCCTGTTGATTACAAGCCCTCCGAGGAGGGGACTGGAGCTCCCCCCCCCCTACCCTCACACTCCTCCACTCAACAGAATGGGCCATTGTTGCCCACAGTATGTTCTAAAAGATACAAATACCCTCAGCTGTTGTTAATAAGCAGGTTTCTCAGCCATCCTAGACCCTGAAAATTATAACGTCCGGGAGCATTCACAGGCTCTGAGATGGCCCACACCAGATCCCTTGTTTAGCCCAAGCTTTATCCAACTCCCAAACCCATTTTATTGACCACGGTATAGCATTTTATTAACCATGTTCGAATACCGCAAGGAACCACTGTGGAAGAGGCTGGTGGCGCCTGGGCCCCCCCTGGCACACGGGGGCTTCTGCTCTCACCCTGTCCAGGCTGAGCACGCCGCTCTCGTCCAGGTTGAAGTGAGCCTTGATGCCCTTGGACTCGTAGTCAGGATACTTCTTGAAGCTCTCACCCACACCTTTTAGCTTCACCGTGGTCAGATTCTGCGAGCCAAATACCCTGGGTGGGGAGGAGAAAGCCGTTCACGGGAGCCCCCCACAAGCCTGCCTCCAAGCTCTAGTCTACACAGCCTCTGGGTATGAGAAACAGGGCCTCCCCAGGACACCCTTGGGATGGAAGCATCTCCCAGAGAAGAAGCTCAGCCCAAACCCAAGCCCAAGCTCACAGGCTGCTTCCCCTGTGTCACCCGCAGACCCCACCCCCTCCCTCCGTGGAGTCCCCAGCTGGCCCCACCCCCTCACCGAAGATCCTCAGGCCCTAGGAAGCCCAGGTCACCGTAGTTGATGTGGAAGTTGAAGTCATGGCTGTAGCGGTTAAAGGTGATGACTTTGCGTTGAGGGTAGGGTCCCATGCGGGAGAAGAGGATGCGCTTATTGTGCTTCAGGCTGCGAACCCCAGTCTCCTCCTCCACCTCCCTCGTGAACTCCACCTACATGGCAGGAGAGGGGAGACCCGCTGGAGAAGCAGAGCAGGGACTGGGGGAAGAGGGGTGGGGAATGCCAATGGCAGGAAGACAGAGGGACAGGCTCGAGCACACAGTGGAGATGGCCCTGGGAGAGGTATGGGGAGCCCGCCACCCCAGCACACAGGCTTACTCACCAGGATGGGGTAGATCACCGCATCCCGGACGACAAAAGGCTTCACCTTGAAGGCTTTGCTGAGCGCGGCCGCCTGGTACACGGCCCCCATGGCGGCGGCTTCATCAGCATTGATGTTCTTCCCCAGCTCCTCCCTGTGAATGTCCCAAGGCTCAGGACCGTCCATCTGCAGCCTGGCCTGGCCCCCCTCCCCTCAGCCCTCCTGCTGCTCAGGCCCCACACTCACTTGCCCACAGCCTTCAGCAGCACCTCCTGCACTTTGGGGACGCGAGTGGCCCCGCCCACCAGGATCACCTGCTCAATCTCATCCTGCACGGGGAGAAAGCGGGGGATGGGGGGAGAAAGCAGGGGATGGGTCAGCTCCGAGGTCACCCTGCTCCTCAGCACAGCCTCTTCCCTCCTCCCTGCCACCTCTTCACTTTCCATCCCGCCTGTCTCCCCACCACGCCCATCTCAATGACCCTGCCTCACCAGTTTCATCTCTGCACTCTGTAGCGCCTGCTGCACGGGCCCAGGGACCCGCTCAAACAAGTCTGCACACAACTCTTCAAACTCCGCTCGAGTCACCTTTGCCTTGAAATCCACATCGTCCATCAGGCCCTCGATCTGGGAAAGGAACAGGAAGGTCAGGGCACTCACCTGGGTCCTGCTCTCTGGGTGGGGGAGTCAGACACCAAGAGAAAAGGATGCTGGGAGGCAGGCAGGAAGCACGGGAACAAGGGATGGGCCACCCGGATCGACCTCAGGGTGGCGGGGTCCTCCACCCTCTGGGGTTGGGGAGGCGGCAATCTTTGCCCTCAAGAGCCACGTGTGAGCACCTGGGCCACGTGGTCGGCATTGGCGCTCAGAACGGTCTTCAGCCGATTGGCCTCACGCAGCAGCTTGGCCATGGCACGAGGGTTCTCCCGCACATCCTTCGCTCTCTGACCCCTGCGCTGCTCATTGAAGAGCCCGGCCAGGTGCTCACGCAGGCGGAGCTCCATCTCCAGGCCCCCCAGGGTACGGTCAAACCTGTGTAGGAAAGGGAAGAGGGAAAAGTGTGAGGAACACACGGGGTCCCTTCATGCACCCAGGAACTTGGCTCTCACCCCCACGGCTAACACCTCTCAGCGATAGTCCATCTGGCCATTTATTCAACTGTAACTACTAGGCACCAAATTACGTATTTGTCTCTGGAAATACAACTGTAAGAAGGGAGAAAAAAAAAAAGACACGGTCCCTGCTATCAAACAGTTTATAACTGAGCAATCAACCACACTCTGAAATTTTAGCAATCCTGTGTTATAACAGAGAAACAGATGATACCACTAGAACATAAATAAGTGAAATTTCAGCTATTTAGAGATGTCTGGAAAAGTTCTGTGAAGAAGCGATGCTGGAGCTGAAACTTGAAGATGAGCTGGAGTTAACGAGGTGAAGAAGAGAGAAAAGAACATTCTAGGCAGATGGTGAGGTGTGAGAGAACAAGAGTGTGTAAGTTCAATGGAGGGCAAAGACGGCTGGAGCTCAGGGTCAGAGCCAAGCTGGAGTTGTCAGGGTACATACAGGTGGCTTTATAGGCCAAGACCAAGGTGTGGAGCCACTGAAGGGTTTCTAAAGAAACGAGATTAAAAAAAAAAAAAAAAACACCACGAGATACAGACAGGTTTGAAAAGAACCCTCTGGCTGAAATGTGGAGAAAGAACTGGAGGGAGGCCACACTGGCAGCAGTGAGATACGCTATTCTGCAGGTGAGAGGTGACGGCAGTTTGGACTAATGTGGAAGCGGTAAAGGTGGACAGAAAAGAACATGTTCATGAAATAACGTAACATCAACAATAAGTAAACCAAAGGTGCCAAGAACAAAAAAATAGTTGAAGTTGACACTCCTCATGTGGCCTATGGCCTTGTGGATTTCCTCAAAAGCAGCTTGGGACATTCATTGCCCTTCAACATTCCCAAACTATCTCCCCAAATCTCCATCTACCCCATGCTCTTTGGGAAAGGTATCCTACAAAGATTGATGCTTTAGCCAGGAGAGTATTCCTGCAGGGAGCAAGAAAGTGAGGCCGCTGACCCTCCAAGAAGAAACTGGGACCCCAGGGTATCTCAGCAAGCAGCCCTCCTCACAGCACCCACTTACCCCACACCCCGGATCTGCAGCTGTGGCTGCATCCCCGCATCCTTAGTCTTCACCGTCTGGTAGGTCACGATGGTGCACACGGTGCTGCCTGAGCCCATGTCATAGAACATGATATTCTGCAGAGACATCAAGGCCACTGTCACCAGAACCTAACCCAACTCCAGGGTGCCTGCCTGCCTCCAAGGGGCTGCACTGACTCAAACGAAAATCAAACAACTCCAAAAGGGGATGAGAGGGGGCTGTTGCTGCATTTGTCAAAGGCCAGCATGCAAATAAGATGCAAAACAAGCCAAGTCGCTTCCATCATCAGACTCAGCCACCCTGCCAGGCCAGTCGGTAGCTCCTCCCTGGCTCACCTGGGCAGTGCTGTTGATATCTTTCCGGCGGAAGACACCATAGCTGAGGGCGGTGGCGGTGTTGTCATTGATGAGCTGCAGCACCTTGAGGCCAGCCATTCGCGCAGCCTGCAGCACAGCTCGGCGCTCAGCCTGATTGAAGAAGGCTGGTACAGTGATCACTGCATCCTTGATGGGTTGCTCTATAGGGGACAACAGAATAGGGTTCCCACCAGCTCCACACCTTAGATGGGGGGTTCTCAGTCTCAGCACTGTTGACATTTTGGGCTAGATGTTTTTTTTTCTTGGCCACACCACATGGCATGTGGGATCTTTGTTTCCCAACCAGGGACTGAATCTGTGTCCCCTGCAGTGGAAGCTCAGGGTCTTAACCACTAAACCACCAGGAAAGTTCCTGGGCCAGATAATTCTTTGTTTTGGGGGGCAGAGGTGTGCAGTCTAAGATGACTGGCAGCACCCTTGGCTTCTACTCGGTAGATGGCAGTGGCTGCAGTTGTGACAACAAAAAATGTCATCAGATGTTACTAAATGTTCCTGGGGACTCAGAACTGCCTTCATTTGTCTCCAGGGAATGTGGCTGCCACTGGCCCCACCTTGGCCACCCACCTGCAAAATCTTCAGCCAGAGACCGGGAGTAGTTGAGAAGCATGCTGAAGACCTCCTCCGGTGAGAACTGTAGCTGCCTGGGGGAGGGGGATGGTTAGTGGCAAGGAAGGCCCGGCATCCACACAAGGACAGTGGTGAGCACACGTTGACAGGGATCCCACCAGGCCCCCTGAGCCCACCTTCCCCAGCAGGGCACTCACGGGCTGATTTGGAAGTACACAGTCTGCCTCTGTGGGTCAAAGCCCAGCTCATGCTCGGGGAAACGAGCTTTGTAAAGGGCTACATGGGGGTTATTCTCCTGCTTCCCCAGGAGGTGCTGGAAGTAACGCAGCGTAGCCTTTGGGTTCTTGATGGCCTGAGAAGAGGTAAAGAAAGAGCAGAATGTTAAGATTCCCAAACCCGCCATCACCTACCTACCTCGGAGACTGACCAGGGAGCAAGACTCTGGAGGCTGTCATCGCCTCTCCTCTGCCCACTGCTTCTGGGAAGGGGGTGGGCTGCGAGCTCACCATGCTGGCCGCACTGTCGCCAAAGAATCTTTCATTTTCTTTCAGGGTCACCGTCACTGGGGTTTTCCTCCGGGACTCCCTGAAGAAAAGACACACTGGGGCCACGTGCCTACAGCACGGTGTGTTCTCAGGAGACTCAACACTCCCACGTACATACAACACCCGACAATCATGCAAACACAAAGTCTGTTGAGGGCACTACCAAGACCACATTTGGGCCTCAGGTGCGGACCCTCTTTCCCCCCCCCGACCCTGGGGCCGCCCTCACTTGTTCAAGACAATCTCCATGGGTACTCCAGGTTTGACGATGGCCACCTTCATAGACTCGCTGCCCAGGTCCACAGACATCACTGCCAGTGTGTCTGAAGGGGAAACAGATCTATCAATTAGCCTCTCTTTCCCCGCCTTCCTGAGGCCCCACTAATCAAAGCACACCGCTTTCCATGGAGAAGGTGACAGCAGCAGACAGAAAAAAATATCTGGGTCTGGGAACCTAAGAGCCGAGAGGTTTCCCATTCACCAGCTTCATAACCCCTGCCCACCACATGTCATCCATCATTCACTCATTTATATTTCTTTTGACGCCTCTGCTGGGGTACATACCACTCAGTGCCAACAGGTCTGCCAAGAGCACAGTCATCAAGGCCCAACATGCTAGCCTCCTCGGCCTCTGCCTTCTGCCTGTGGCTACCATTGTGTCCCTAGGAGAGAAGAAAAACAACACTTGTAACTGGATGCCCTGAGTGAAGGAGGCAGAACCTCATCCACAACAGAGAAGCTTTAAAATTCATACCTACTCCATCCTCACTCAGGGCAGGACAGGCTACATCCTACCCCTCCTCTCCCTTCTAATGAGAACCAAGCACTCTCACCACCTTCAGAAGTGACCACAGGAAAGCCCAGGTGAACCACCGGGGATTCAAGCCTTTGGCCACCACATCCCTAAACAGTGATGGTAACAGGCCAGGAGGAAGGAGACCAAGGCCTTCCGGCCACTGCATAGGCAGCTCTACGGGCGCACCCCAGCACTGTCCCTGCCGTCACACACCTGGGGTGCCGGCAGGGATCCCCGCTCAGGACTAGACTACCTCCCTACAACCTGGAGCTCCCCCGCTGGCGGGGAAAGCCTGGCCGGGCCTGGCCGGGAACTGAGAGATGGTGACGCTGGAGGAGGCAGGGATGGAAAAAGGGCACGTCTCGTCCTCAGCATCCCTTCGGGTTGCCCCTCCCGCTCCCCTTCTCCATCCCATCTTCGGCCCCGCTGCCTACACAGACGCTGTGCCTGGAACGATAAGGTTCCGCGTCGAGAAGACAGCGAGTATTCCGAGTTCACCTAAGCCTCACCTCCCAAAGGCGGCGGCGGCTCCCACTCCCGGAAACGGGTGCCAGCCCACCTCTAAGGCATGAAGGCACCCTGGGGACCGAGCTGCGGGGCTAAGCGCACCGGCGTCCGTGCGGCCCTCACTCCCTCTACTGACCCGCCCCCGGAGCTAGCACGTTGCCTCCTCTAAGGGTGGCCGGTTCCCATCGCCATCCCCACCCCCGCTACCTCTCGCCTCCGCTCCCGTGGCCCCAGCTCTGGGACAAACGCAGCGCCAGACGAAACCACGAGGCTAGCAGCGCGCCCCCCAAACCCGCGCCCTCCACAACTCCCCTCGGCTTGCAAACTGTTACATTAGCCACCAACCTCTCGGCGGCGTCTCGCGCACCAGCCGGCCCCGGACGCGGCGTGCGCTCATTGGCGCCTCCGCCGCCCGGCCCTGCGCCGCGGGACTGGCCCCGCCCCTCGCCGCCGCGGCGCGCGTCCCCATTGGGCCACGTCCTAGGCCCGCCCCCTCCCCCGTCTCCGGCCACCGCAGCGGAGGCGGAGAGGCCAGTCAACCAGTTGTAGGAAAACCGCCGATGCCCGCTGCCGATTGGTCCACGTCACGCGCGGCCCAGCGTCCATCCCGGTGCGCTCGAGGGACCTTTAAGGCCGCGGCGCAGAAGGTCTGATTGACCGGGTCTGGAGTGGCCGGTGCCTGGAGCGAGTTGGCAAACGGGCAGTCCAGCACTCGGGCCTCCTTTTCTGGTCATTTGGGAGCCCCGTCCGGGGAGCAGGCATCCTTGCATCTCCGAGGCAGCCACGCGGAAGAGGTGCTAGCTTGCTGGTCGGTATTGAACTGCCCTAGGCTTTGGCTGGAAATCAGAGAACGACTGCTTAGTCCACCTCAACCCCCGCTTTGTTTCTTTGCGGAAACTTAAAGCCACCAAGAGAGGTGTTCGCTGATCAGTCGGAGATAACGCTTGTATTAGTGGCATAAGTTGGCCTGGGCTCTTTACTCCAGTTTGAGAAAGAACATTCCGAACTGCAAATCCCTGACACAAAAGACGCTTTTATGAGGCTGTAATTGGTTAAGCACAGATGCACCACCTCCTGTTTCTCTTCCTTTATGCCTGTTCACTTTCTTTCTGAATGAGAGCACCTCGGAAAGGTATCTGATGCTCCTGACTCCCCTCTCTCTGTACTTCACAATCCCATAGAAATCTGCATGGTCCTGAGACAAAACACTTTCTTTTTCCAGTTTTATTGACATCAGCGCACTTTTCTTAAATATGGTATCACTGCTTCCTCTCATGAAATCGTTGCCTGGCCTCGCTTTACAGAAGGTTCTTCTGAAGGCCTTGCCTATGACAGCCCGGGCTTGGTTAAGGAAATCTTACTTGGTCCTTTCCCTACATTTTTAAATAATGTTTAGGGCTGTTACAGAATCCAAGCTCTGTCTACTCGCCAATAGCTGGACGACAAGGTGTTGAGGCAAAGACTAGAGACTTTATTTGGAAAACCTGGCAACCAAGTAGATGGCAGGCTAGCACCCTAGAGTACCATCTGATTGGGGTCTTGTTATCAGTTTCTTTTATAGAACAGAAAGAAGGAGGTGGTGAGGAAGTAAAGTAAAAAGGTCATAAATCCTGCAAAATAAGCATCAGGGAAGGGATGTGTTAATTTCTTCTTTTCTGTAACCATTCACAGGTGGGCAGGGTCAGAGTGTATCCATAGGAGCTGAATAAAGGCACTTTAACATTCAGGCAGGGGGGCAGGTTCCCCTAGCCAGGTCATTATATATATGTACAGTTGTAGACAGCATCCTTTTAGTGACTAAAAGCGACAAAAAGCAAAGGTTAAAGTAAACAGATCCAGCTGAGTTCAGATTTGAGTCTGGTGTCTATGCTTAGAAGATCAAGCTACTGGCAGTATCAAGGGGAGGTCTATTTTCCTTCCTTTTAAGAACAGTTCAGTCTTCAGGTAGTAGAGAAATTGGTAGAAATAGAAATTCGCTTGAAACTAACCCAGTGATTTATACAATAAATTTATACAATAAATTGTGTAATTTATTAATTACACAAATAATATACAAATGTAATCTTGTAAAAGTTATAATATACCATAAAGTTAAATCTCTTTAATATCAACAATCTCTAGAGTTATCTGCTGTTACTAGATGTGTAACATTCTAGGTCTTTTCCTCTATTTACATACATGTATGTCTCTCGAAACATGTAGCTGTTGTCTTTTTTAAATGATAAAATGTTATACAATTAGCTTGTTTGCAACTTGCTTTTTTTTTTTCCTTTGGTTAAAATAAATCATGGCGTATTTTCCATACCAATGTGTCATCTTGTTTACTGCTGTAGAACATTCCATAGCATGGGAGTTATTTAGTCATACTGATGAACATAGAAGTTGTCATTTCAGTTTCACAGAGGAAGATTTTATTTTCTAAGCCTGTTGTGGTGCACAGGTTTAGTTGCCCAGTGGCACATGGGATTTAGTTCCCCAACCAGGGACTGAACCCGTGTCCCCTGCTTTGGAAGGCAGATTCCTAACCACTGAGCCACCAGCAAAGTCCCCAAGATTTTGTTTCTCAATAACTGACTCTACTTTTGACCACCTATTCAGTAGGGTGAAAGTGAAAGTGAAGTCGCTCTTTGTGACCCCCATGGACTGCAGCCTACCAGGCTCCTCTGTCCATGGGATTTTCCAGGCAACAGTACTGGAGTGGGCTGCCCTTTCCTTCCCCAATTCAGTAGGGTAGACTCTTTCAAACAGAATATGCACTTTAACATTTATTGGCCCTGTGTTGCATGCAGGCATTGTGCTAGGTATTGGGATTCCAGAGATGGGAATGACCTGTCCTTTCCTTCAGAGGTCAATCTGTTGGGAAACAAGTATGTTCACAGTGTTGCACACTTATTAAAAACCTATTGAATGACTTTCAGTTCAGTTGCTCAGTCCTGTCCAACTCTTTGCGACCCCATGGACTGCAGCACACCAGGCTTCCCTGTCTATCACCAGCTCCTGGAGCTTGCTCAAACTCGTGTCCATCGAATCAGTGATGCCATCCAACCATCTCATCTTCTGTCGTCCCCTTCTCCTGCCTTCAAAGTTTCCCAGTATCAGGGTCTTTTCCAATGAGTCGGTTCTTTGCATCAGGTGGCCAAAGTATTGGAGCCTCAGCTGGAGCATCAGTCCTTCCAATGAACATTCAGAACAAACTTCCCATAGTTTGGTCCCATAGACTGGTTGGATCTCTTTGCAGTCCAAGGGACTCTCAAGAGTCTTCTCCAACACCACAGTTCAAAAGCACCAATTCTTCAGCAGTCAGCTTTCTTTATAGTCCAACTCTCACATCTACCAGAAGAACCATAGCTTTGACTAGACGGAACTTTGTTGGCAGAGTAATGTCTCTGCTTTTTAATATGCTGTCTAGGTTGGTCATAACTTTTCTACCAAGGAGCAAGCATCTTTTAATTTCATGGCTGCAGTCACCATCTGCAGTGATTTTGAAACCCCCCAAAATAAAGTCTATCACTGTTTCCATTGTTTCCCCATCTATTTGCCATGAAGTGATGGGACCGGATGCATGATCTTAGTTTTCTGAATGCTGAGTTTTAAGCCAGTTTTTTCACTCTCATCAAAAGGCTCCTTAGTTCTTTGCTTCCTGCCATTAAGGGTGGTGTCATCTGCATACCTGAGTTTATTGATATCTCTCTGGGTGGGCTTCCCTTGTAGCTCAGCTGGTAAAGAATCCACCTGCAATGCAGGAGACCTAGGTTCGATCCCTGGGTTGGGAAGATCCCCTGGAGAAAGGAAAAGTTGCCCACTTCAGTATTCTGCCCTGGAGAATTCCGTGGACTGTGTATAGACCATGGGATCGCAAAGAGTCAGACACAACTGAGCGACTTTCTCTTTATTTTACTTCTTCTCCCAACAATCTTGATTCCATCTTGTGCTTCATCCAGCCTGGCATTTCACATGATGTGCTCTGCATATAAGTTAAACAAGTAAGGTGACAATATACATCCTTGACGTACGCCTTTCCCAATTTGGAATCAGTCCATTGTTCCATATCTGGTTCTAACTGTTGCTTCTTGACCTGCATACAGATTTCTCAGGAGGCAGGTAAGGTGGTCTGGTATTCCCATCTGTTTAAGAATTTCCCACAGATTGTTGTGATCACTGAATGGCTTTACTGGGAGAGTAAGAAAGTCAGTCTGTCCTGCTCCTTATGTGAGCTCCCACTCCCAGAATATCCTCGGTGGGAGCACAGTCTGCAGCAGCTATGCTTCTCGACCTGGATGTCTGTCCCCCTGGGAGGGGCAGCAGGTGCAATTGCTCTGGGGAGTCACCTGTTTTGTTCTCTGACCAGATTGGAGTTTCACAAGAGCAAGGTGTAAAACAGTGGGAAAATTTTAATGTAGAACATTTGACTTAGATGAACCAAGACAGCTGCTTCCCTGGTGGCTCAGACGGTAAAGCATCCACCTGCAATGCAGGAGAACTAGCTTCAATCCCTGGGTTGGGAAGATCCCCTGGAGGAAAGCATGGCAACCCACTCCAGTATTCTTGCCTGGAGAATCTCCATGGATAGAGAAGCCTGGCGGGCTACAGTCCATGGGGTCGCAAAGAGTCGGACACGACTGAGTGACTAAGCACAGCACAGCACAAGACAGCTGAATCCACTAGTTCTGCTCCAGAACAACAATAACCTTTGAGGACTACCTCCCCTCCCCTACACTGTGCAGAAGCCCAAGGGAGAAAGCTGCCATCTCACAGAACATGAATAAAATGAACACCTAAGTCAGAGCACATGCATACATTATAAACCATGCATACATTATATAACCATGTCAAGGGCTGAGGCCAATGTCAATTATGGTGAACATCCTGGTCCAGGTGAATTAAAAAAATGTGTTGTCACCCAGTTACCCCATTCTTAGGTATGTATCTATTTGAACATATTCACTAAGAGACTTTGTTCACTGAGACTTTGTAATAGCTTAATTCAAAATGCACTAAAATGGAATACTGCCCCAATGCCCAGCAATAGCTGTATCGATAGGGAATTCCCAGGCAGTCCAGTGGTTAGACCATAGTGCTGTCACTGGTGGGGCCACAAGTTCGATCCATTGGGGGAACTAAGATCTGAGTGCCATGTGAAGTTGTGTAAAAAAAAATTAGATCAAATAAATAGTGGTAGATTCACACAATGGAATTCTATAGAGCAATTGGTCTCTTACATTCAAATTCTTAAATAAATCCCACAAACAGTATTCAGTGAAAGCAAACAGAAACCAGAGAGCACACAGTTTATGATTTCACTTGTATAAAGTTTAAAAACAGGCAAAATTAAATTCTAGTCATAGAAGCTGGGATGGTACTTACCCTTTCACAGTAAGAAGAGGGGATAAGGCTGGCTTTGGGGATGCTGGTTGCAGTGGCTTTTGTGAAAATTCAATGGATTGTAGTATGTACACTTAATCTGTTTGCATGTTACACTTCAATAATAATTTCAGAAATTATTTTGTGTCACACACAAGACTAGACGGTTTATTTACTGTAAACTTAGGCAGGAGAAGCACCAGGATAAGTTTTTTCCCTACTTTTATAGCAATATTTTTAGAATTACAGAAGAAATGTCTGTTGTGTAGCTCTCCTAGGCCTCAGTGTCAACATCTTTCAAAGAGGCATGCGGGTACATGCCTCACAGGTCATACCAAAAAGGGCGTGTAGGGCTCCTGGGCACAAGGGCTTTGTGTCCCCGTTTCTCTGATTGTAGGAAACAGCCTTCATTCAGCCTCCATCACTTTCCCTGAGTTCCAGTAGGCAGATTCAAGCAGTTGTTAACTAGGGAAGGGAGGGGATGTGAGACCAGGGAGAAACAAACAGTCAAGAGCAGTCTTGGAGCAAGGTCCGGTTTCCCCATCAATGGATACATACAACAATATCTTTGAGTTACTTTGCAGATACTGAAACCCCTTCCAGGTGAGAGAAGTTGACATGGTTAATGATGGTATACTGCTCACAAGCATGTAGACCTCAGTTTAGTTGACCTGAAGGTTAATTATGCTGACTTCTTGCATCACCATGAACCCATCAGAAGAATGTCCACAAGTTAATCACGCCCTCTTTGAACAATTACTCTAAAACTCACTATCTTCTCCAAGTGAAGACACACAAGTTTGAGGGAATTAGCCCACTGTGGCCCCCTTTGCCTGGCAAACTAATAAAACTATCCTTTTCCACTTCACTCAAAACTCTGAGATTTGATTCAGCACCTGTGTACAGAGAAGCTGAGCTTTTGGCATCACAGGGTTGGTGTCAAAATTAAAGAAGGGGTAAAGTGCTTCACACAGTGCTAGGGAATCCTAAGCACCAAATACATTTTAGTTAGCTTTTTTTTTCAGTCTAGAGAAATAAAACTAAAAGATATGCACCACTGCAGTCTAAAAGCTTGGTTAAGTGCTTTACCAAATTCATGAGGAAGTTCCCTCTTGCAGGCCAGATTTTCACAATCAATAATCAGCTAATTGTGCCTTTCTCCCGTTTCATGGTTGCCTTGAAGACCTGTGCTCTCTTATACTGTAAGACCTCTGAGTCTACTAGGTTGACCTTTTTGTTCCTAAAGTGGAAACTGCTGCTAGCCTTTTTAGGGGCTAAGAGAAAAAAACCCAGACTTCTCAGTAGTTAAGAAAATGGTTTCTACCCAGACAGCCAGACGTGTGTGTAGGGGGGAATGATAGAAAATAAAAGTTTGTAACTGGAACAAGAAGTGTTCCTGTTTTGCTCTAGTGGATATGACTGTTGTACATCATGGGCAGCAGTTTGCTGAAGTGCAAAAGAGAGGGCATTGCTAGGTAATTCTTGATTCTGAGTCATGAGCTCGTTAATTTCAAGCTAAATAACTGATTTGCGTCTTTACCTTTAGTCCCTTCAGAACTCCAGTTCTCAGTGAGCAGAACTGGAAGTGAATCTGAACACACAGTCACTTTCTGTGTAGTCTGCCTTCTTACATCCTCACTACACTGAAGTTCCTGGATTCAGAAAAGCATACCTAAAAGACAAATCCTGGTGTATGTTCTGACAAGTGTAGCCTAGCTTCACACCCCGGGGAAGTTATTGAATTAAAGGTCAGGGAACTGAAGAACTCGTTTTATTTCCAAAGGACTTTGATGTTTTTGCTCAGGGAGAATCACCTGAACCTCTTTGAGAATGTTTCTCATCAGAGATAATGATACTTCTGCAGGTGATTGCTATGAAGAGTCTATGAAGAGTGAAAGCACCTTGTTAGGTATAATTCACTACATGAAACTTAGGGCTGGTATCTGGAAAAGATGAAAACTCTAATTTGAAAAGACACATATACCCCAATATTCATAGAAGTACAATTCACAATAACAAGACACGGAAGCAACCTAAATGTCCATTGACAGATGAATGGATAAAGATGTGGTATAAAAAGAAGATGTTATATATATATTAATAATATCAGCCATAAAAAGAATGAAATAATGCCTTTTGCAGAAACATAGATGGACGTAGAAATTATCATGCTAAATGAAGTAAGTTAAAGATGAGTATCATATGACATAATCTGAAAAATAATATATATATGACTGAATCACCTTGATGTACACCTGAAACAATGTAAATCAACTTACTTCAATCTATTTATTGATTGATATTTATTTATTTTTAAATCAACTTACTTCAATTTAAGAAAAAAGAAATTAAGGGCTCACTACTGTCAGTCCTTTTTATGTCTGTTTCCTATGGTGGTGGTCAAGCTCCCTGAAGAGCAGGCACCATGTCTATTTCATGTATATATGCTGGGCATTTAGTACAATTCCAGGAAAACCAAAGACAAATTTGTCAAAAAGAGGAAAGAAAGAAAGGGAGCAAGTCTGAAGAGGTGCCATGGGTCCCCTGGAGGGCCAGTCTCTGCGTATGTACCCTCATCAACAATTTTAGTATATGAGCATGTACCCTCATCAACAGAAGATCCAGTGGCTTAGACATCAGAGCCTCTACCACTGGACAGTAGGGGGAGCAAACACATCAACGACAAAGATGTCATTCCACTGTCCACATATCTCTTTGCTTTCACTTTGCTTCCTTTAACAAGTATTATCCATAGCCTTAATAACGGACATAACTCAAAGGTGAAAGTGGGTCCCATCTAGCCCCTATCTGTGTTTGTGCCCACAGACTGAGATCCAAAACAGTTCTAATACCTGCATGACAAAGAAGAAAGAAATCTGGGCTGTAAATCAGGAAATGTGTGCCCTCCCCTCATTTATTTATTTAGACAAATAGACACAACTTTTTCCATCAACTAGATCAAGGAGAGGGTAAGAGGAAAATCATCCACATCCATTACTTCAATCCACTTGGAGTATCTACCAGGCTGTTGGACCTGGTTCTCGGTAAGCAACACACAGGCCCTGCTTGCTGAGAATCCAGAATCTAGGGAATAAAGCCTAACATGTTCTGAAAATAAGCTGTGGGGGGCAGGGATGCAAAAATAAACTTCACAAATACTAATCATATGGCCACTTTTTCATATTGCATACTGTCTCAAATGACTCTGTGTCACTCCCATGTGTAGCTTCCAGTGGCGCAAACACAGCACACCTGCAGTTTTCCACACAGACAGCTGGTTTAGGCCAAGTTGGGACCCGTGGGTACCATGAAGGGTCTTCGGCCCTTGTCACCTATAAAATCACGCAGTGCTCAGTGCCGCGGCTTCAAGGTTCTTTGCTATACTCTGCTTATACCCTGTCATTATGGCAAGGAGAGAAAGCCCAGGTTCTTGGAATTTGTGCCCCAGAAGTATTTCCCAGCTTCCTTAAGAAACATGTTTTAGGTGCCCAATAAACGGCATGCCTCTGACAGAGGGACATAAAAACACACTGACTATAGTTACACTCTGTACCTTGAGGCTGACACAAACCACTGATATTATTTCTCCTTTCCTACAGACGAAAAACCAGTTTCATATACACCGATTCACTTAGGCCTCAAAACAGTCCTGTGAGGCAGAAGGTAATTCATCTAGGCACAGCGGGTTACAATTCACAAATCGCGTGTCATCCCTCATCTTGATCCCTCATTGCCCGCCAATTTAAAGAGGAAACTGATGCTCAGAGATGTGAAAGTCTAGCTCTTAAGAAGCATTTCAGCCAAGGCACTTACAGAGCCGTCAAAACCGAAAACTGCGGAGCGAGCTGCGGGTGGTGAGCCCTGCTTCAAGCGGCCGCGCCCACTGTCCCAGCAGCGGGAAGCCGTCACTTCGAGAGGAGAGCGCAGGTGCACCCAGACTCCAGGCCGTCCACGGGTCATGTGATACGCCGGCTCCTGTCATGTGACCTCTTCCCCGAAGGCGGGGACCTTCGGCCAAGATGGCGACCTACCTGCAGTGGCGGCGCTTCGTTTTCTTCGACAAGGAGCTGGTGAAGGAGCCACAAGGCAATGATGGGGCTGCTCCCGGAGCCGCGCCTGCCTCTGGACCCGCTGCTTCCAAGTTCCTTTGCCTCCCTCCTGGCATCACAGTCTGCGACTCAGGCAGAGGGAGCCTAGTCTTTGGAGATATCCTTCTTGTGGAGCTGTCCCTTCCCTCCTTGAATCCCTGAAGAGATCCAGCTGGGATGAAATCTGTCGGTCAGAAGGGTTCGTGTTACGTGCCAGTGTCCTTTAGATGGGCGCTCAATGTTCCTTCTGTGGTCTGAGGGAAGAAAGGAGGAAGTCCATTCTCTTTAGCTTGTTGCCAAATGAGCGAATAATCCTGGGCAAGTCGTTTAACCTCTCTGAACTTCAATTTCCTTATCTGCAAAAGGGGCGTAAAATAACAGTTGGGCAAGGTTTTTGTTTTTAAGGTCGATCAAAAGAACAGATGCAAGTTGATTTTAAAAGATGAATATGTAAGGTGTCATTATCTCCCCAGCCCATATTGTGGGAGAAGAGTTAAATGAAACCATGGTTTTTTGCTTTGTTTTGTATAATGCTGCCCCTAATCTCTGGCCTTTGTACTCTTTTTAAAATGGGGAGTTTCCAGAGATAATATGTGGCAAAACCCTTGAAAAATTTAAACAGTTGTGTAGATTTTGTTTCTTATTGTGCATGCATGCTTAGTCATGCCCAGTTCTTTGCAACTCCATGAACTGACACCCATGCAGACTTCTCTATCCATGGAATTTCCCAGGCAAGAATACTGGAGCGGGTTGCCATTTCCTTCTCCAGGGCACCTTCCTGACCCAGGGTTTAAACCTCCATCTCTTGCATCTCCTGCATTGGCAGGTGGGTTGTTGACTAGCTGAGCCGCTGGGGTGCTGTGCTGTGCTTAGTCATGTCTGACTGTTTGGGACCTCAGTTACTGTAGCCCACCAGGCTTCTCTGTCCATGGGGATTCTCCAGGCCAGAGTGCTGGAGTGGGTTGCCATGCCCTCCTCCGGGGGATCGTCCCAACCCAGGGATCGAACCCAGGTCTCCCGAATTGCAGGTGGATTCTTTACCATCTGAGCCACCAGGGAAGCCCTGGGGGGTAGTTGTTATTTGGCCTAAATGTAAGAATCTCCCCTTGGAAAGGAGGCTCCTTGACTGCTCTGCACATATGGAAGGCCAGATCTGGTTCTTGCCCCGCTCCCTACAGCTTACAGGTTTCCAGGCCTACAAACTACGGGTGACACACCTGTACCAACTGAAGCAGCACAATATTCTGGCCTCTGTTGGTGAGGATGAAGAAGGCATCAACCCCCTGGTGAGTCCTAGAAGGGAAACAAGAAAGACCCAGAGGCCTGGGAATGATTATTCGTTGGAGGATGACTAGCATTCACACATCTGAGGTCTATCCCCAGGTAAAGATCTGGAACCTGGAGAAGAGAGATGGTGGCAATCCACTCTGCACTCGAATCTTCCCTGCCATCCCGGGGACAGAACCGACTGTTGTATCTTGTTTGACTGTCCATGAAAATCTCAACTTTATGGCCATTGGTAAGAAGAAAGAAGGCAAAGCTAACACCCCATGATTCTTTATAGAGTTCCTTCAGAGTTGCTTCTACAGCTCATTTTCACTGTTTTCATGAGACTATTTTGTACTAAAGTGAGGCCTTTTGAGATTTTGAAGTTTAGGATGGGAAAGCATATAGTTTTGTTTTTTGAAAATAAGTCCGTGAGGCCTAATTTTCATGGTAACCACTGGAGAGGTTGGGTATGAGGAGAAAGATGGTCACTTCTAAAAGTGCCTCTAAAGGTTTTTTTCTGCTTCTGTGCCTTTTCAGCCTCAATAAAATGTTGTTCCCCGCTCTCCTACAGGTTTCACAGATGGTAGTGTTACATTGAACAAAGGGGACATCACTCGGGACCGACATAGCAAGACCCAGATTTTGCACAAGGGCAACTATCCTGTTACTGGATTGGCCTTTCGCCAAGCGGGAAAGACCACTCACTTGTTTGTTGTGACAACTGAGAATGTTCAGGTATGACCAGCGCCTCCTGGTATGACTGTTAGGGGCAAGTAGGAAAGGCTTTTTTTATTGTTCAGTGGGCTAGGGTAAGGAACTGACAAAAGAGGTTCTTATATTTTTAATCATAGCCTTGAAACATTCGCCTAATTTAATATTTTATTTCTTTACTTATGAGACTGGGAAGAGTTAGACCTAGGAAAAGAACTCTTGGGCTTGTAGCAGAAGACATAAGTTTTTCTTTTAATAGGCTTGTTAAGTGATTCTGGACAAGTTACTTCTTTGGTTCTTGTGCTTCTAATATAACAGCTTACTCACACCAATAGTTTTGTTTTCTTTTCAGCCAGAGTTTTCTGATAAAGCAGTAAAATTCTCTTACTTGCCGAATATCTGTAGTAAGTAGTGATAGTGTGTACAGAGGAAGAAAATGTGGTCTCTGCTTATATATTTAGTAGATGACTGATGGTAATGGCCCATTTAATGGAGAAGGCAAGCATCCAGGTAAAGTCTTAGGGTGCTAAGAATTAAGAGAGCCAGTATGGAGGTGGGGATACCTTTGGGAACATTTAGATGCCACGTCCTCAAAGGGAGCCTGTTAACCCTTCTCTTACTTCTCACAGTCCTACATAGTTTCTGGAAAGGACTATCCTCGTGTGGAATTGGACACCCATGGTTGCGGCCTGCGCTGCTCAGCCCTCAGCGACCCTTCTCAGGACCTGCAGTTCATAGTGGCGGGAGACGAATGTGTCTATCTGTACCAGCCTGATGAACGTGGGCCTTGCTTTGCCTTTGAGGGCCATAAACTCATCGCTCACTGGTTTAGAGGCTATCTTGTCATTGTCTCCCGTGACCGGAAGGTTTCTCCCAAGTAAGGATTCTATGGAGAAGCAAAAGGGAGTGGCCTGGGCTTGTTCCCTAGAATTAACCTGATTTCAAACTCCTGATGCCTACATCCTGTCAACCTCCTACTTTGTACTTTTTGTAGAGGTGTTTATACCTAGACTCAGTTATAACTTTTTTTTTTTTTTTTGCTGAAAAGTGTGCTTTTGCTGCAGACATTTGCTGAGCAATCCTTTTGCACTCAATGGTCCAGGGAATTTGGGGCCTGGTATTGGGTTGTTTAATTACTTGGGCGAAATGAATTGGGTAGAGGAACAAGGGATTGAATAGTGGAGAGATTGGAAAATGCTGGGATATGCAACACAGGGTGGTTTTTCTTTCTTTTTTTCCTGAGTCATCAGAAAGTGGGACAGAATCTTCAGCGTGTTGCAGGCGATCCTTGTCAGATATTAGTTTTCATTCAGCACTAATTATTTGTTAAATCTTGGATGTTGGAATATACTTAAGTTTTCAATCTGTTGCCTGTATTAATTATAGGATCCTTAAAGGTAAGATCAGGTCTACACATACTCTTCCCACAGCTGCCAGCACCACGCTGCGTATTGCAGGATGAGCTGCTAGCAGTGACTTGTTTTGGGAGGAATAGGTAGCACCAGAGTTGTCAAGGGAACGGAAATAGAGGGGAGCTGAGACTGAGGTGGTACAGATAAATATCCGGTGCTTTTTCTTTCCCACCCAGGTCAGAGTTTACCAGCCGGGACTCCCAGAGCTCTGACAAACAGATTCTCAACATCTATGACCTGTGCAACAAGTTCATAGCCTATAGCGCTGTCTTTGAGGATGTAGTGGATGTGCTTGCTGAGTGGGGCTCCCTGTACGTGCTGACGCGGGATGGGCGGGTCCACGCACTGCAGGAGAAGGACACACAGACCAAACTGGAGGCAAGGCCACCAGGTTCCCAGAGCTGGCTATGGGCACCCAGACACGGCTCTAGGAACAGACTCCCCAAGTCGCCTTGGCCAGGGTGTTTCCTTCCCTTTGGGTCACAGCCTTACTCAGCCTCTTTAGGGTAAGATTCCAAGGTCAGTGGTCTGAGATGTGGCTTTAGAGGGAAGCAGTGGCTGGGGGCCTGAGCCCACTTTCAGGGTCTACTCTGCCTGCCTGCAGAGAACCTAGTGAGGTGAGCTAATGTTAGTCTTGGGGTGTCTGGGGGTCTCACCCTAAGATCTAGGCTGATTGGAACTTCATAACCATCTGGCTTGTGTGTTGTGGGTGCATTCTGGGAAGCTGTCTTCTCAGGCCTCCTTCTTCCAGTTTTCTAATCTCTCTTCCTTTCCAGATGCTGTTTAAGAAGAACCTATTTGAGATGGCGATTAACCTGGCCAAGAGCCAGCATCTGGACAGTGATGGGTTGGCCCAGATCTTCATGCAGTATGGGGACCATCTCTACAGCAAGGGCAACCACGATGGTGCTGTCCAGCAGTATATCCGGTCAGTCTGGAGGCGCTTTAGGATAAACCTGTGAATGCAGGAACGGAGAGCCAGCTAGACTGAAATCTGCACTTGGGGACTGGAGCGGATGGTGGACTCCATCGTGAATTGTCCTTTTTTCCTACATAAATTGCGATTCCTCAAATGAGGAGACAGTATACCTTATTGGAAAGGGAATATTTAGGGTCAGATGCTACATGACCAGTATGCAGTTGAGCTGATGAAAAGTGAAAGTGCTAGTCACTAGTTGTGTTCGATTCTTTGCGACCCCATGGACTGTAGCCCACCAGGCTCTTCTGTCCATGGAAATTCTTCAGGTAAGAATACTGAAGTGGGTAGCCTTCTCCAGGAGGTCTGCCCAACCCAGGGATTGAAACCAGATCTCCTGCATTGCAGGCAGATTCTTTACTGTCTGAGCTACCAGAAAAGCTCTCAAGGAAGTTGAGCTGAAAAGTACCTGTTATTTTAAATGTTAGCTTGGCCTTTGTTAATACTCATTTTGATCAGATTCTTTAAAGGGGAAAGGGTATTCATCTCTTGTTTCCACCGTTT